TGGGATGGAAGGGGGCTGAGTACCTAAAGAAGATGGAATATCCAAGTAGGTCACCTGACCTGAATCCCCTCAATTACCCGGTTCGGGCGGAGTTCAATAGGGTGGTCTACGGTGGCGGAGAAATCGACTATCTCGCTGATCTCAGGCACCCACTCACGGTCGCGTGGCAGAATCTCTCGATGGCGCTCCTCCAGAAGGCTGTGGCGGAGTATCATAATAGTATTTAATATGCTCTTTAATATGGTGGTAGAAATGTCCGATCAGAATTTATAAAGTGTAACTTATAGCGCCAAGTCAATGAAGAAAAGTGACTTTTTTTGGCCCCCCTGTATCTTCATTGTTAACGTTCAGGTACTGGTCTATCGTGATATCAGCATGCAAGTTCGACGTCGTCTCCCCACTCTCGATACTGTAGTGGCATCTGGTGGGTATTTGCCTCTGATTGAGCTTCCTGTTTTGTTTCAGTATTGCTGTCACGGGATGGTTAAAGGCAGTTGGCATGATAAGTCCCTAAGACGAGTAGGATGTACAGTCGTCATCCGGGCTGTTGATTAAGCGGTCAAAGGGTCGCACACGCGGCTGCGGCGCATCACGACCGCGGCGATCAGCTGTTTCCAACCTATCTAGCCATTTTCACTGCAATACTTTTTTTATTAGGAAAGTTGTTTTTTGTCTTTATGAAGTACATTGGGACAAGGATTTTTTTGTTTTTTGTAATGATGTGTTTTTGCGACTTTTTTTGGTATTTGCTTATTTGCTTACAATGAACAACTAACCTTAAGAAAAGCAGCCAAAAACAGTGAAAATTAGGGAGAAAATGGCTAAATAGGCTGGAAACAGCTGATCGCCGCGGTCGTGACGCGCCGCAGCCGCGTCTGCGACCCTTTGACCGCCTAATCAACTGCCCGGATGACGACTGTATATGCCTGGCAAGACGGAATATGAACGATGAAATTCAAAGGTTTCACACATACAATCCTACCTTTTTCCGATTGATATCGGAACTGTACCGCCTAAAAGGGCAACACCTTCGGACCATTATTCGTTTGACTCTGGAACCCGTGACTGGCTTGAAGGCACGGTCCGCGATCAGGTATAGAAATTGGAAATATGGCGTCGGAAGGGTAGCGTGGTCCGCGAAAAATTGTAAGAGAGGGACGCTATAGCGCAATAAAGGTCCAGTGACGCCTCCTCAATTCCAGCGACTCCGCCTCAGACTCCGCCTACAAGGTCAGCCTTTCCAGTGAAAAACGGAGCCGCAGGACGAGAAAACCCTGAGTATGAGTACTATCTCTGGTATTGAGCCGACATTTCGGAAAACCCGTCCACAAACGTTTTTTCTTCGTCGATGCACGTAGAAACTGGGATCGGAATGGGGTTTTATCTAGGATAGTTGGCGTGTTTTTTCTGCTTGCTTCTTCACTACAGTATTACTGTGAACCTTGTCGTCTTTATACAGAACTCGAATCCACTAACTGTGATGGCGAATGATCGCGGGCCTTGCCTTTAAACTTTGCCAGATTCGCTTATTTTGTCACAAAGATGTTCTGAATGAAGCATTCAGCTGTACAAGTCGAGGAAACCGGAAACCCTTTTGATCATCATTTTGTTAGCGCGTCAAGTTATGTACACAAAGAAAAGGCTCATTGTTCAAGTGCAGTGTGCCTCGACAAAACAACTATTGTCATTCGGCTTTGCCTGGGTGCCTACGCAGTATTCGTCCTGATTCACCCGTACTTTTGGACTGCCGCAAAGCTCTTGAACTGATTGCTTC